ATGCTTCAATAGCCTGGGAACTCACCTACTTTCGTGAAAAACCTATAGGCTATAATGAAAGCTAGACTCGGGAAATGAATTGTTCATCAAACATATGTTTAATATCTAATATATAAATATTTCATGATGAATAATTAAAGAATGTATCAAAATCTTGTGGACTTAATTCCAAATTATTTAAAACAAATGGCTGAAGCAACAGGGGGCCACATTACATACTGAGACTTCTTTTTAAAGATGTAAAAAGTTGATTATTGTAAAAGTCAATAAATTTAATTACTTTACTTTGTTCTGGTTAATTTACACACCACTGTATTTGCTCCTTATCCATAACATTACACTTCCCACTTCCCCACTTCTGCATTGATTTTGTCCTATGCCTGGAATGCCTGCCCTCCTCACCACTTCCTTTTGGACTTCTTAGCTTTTTTCAGGTCTCAGCTAAATTGTCATACCCTTCACAGAGCCCTTCCTGATCCCCTCAATTAAGGGTGTCCTTTCAAAAGTTCTCTCTCTCTCTCTGTATATATGTATGTATGCACACATATGATAGAAAGATTAAAGTGCTAGATTCTGAGTCGGGGAGACATGGGTTCAAATCCTACCTCATACACTTAACACTTAGCCTATGAGTTTTGGTTTCCTCATTTGTGAAATGGGAATAATAGCAGCACCTAGCTCACAGGACTGCTGTGGGCTCAAATAAGATAATGTGCATAAAGCACATTTTAAACTTGAAAGTGTTATTTAACTGTGAGATATTATTGACTCATCTGAGTAGATGTTACAGTCTAGAGTTGCTTGAAGGCAGAAAGTTTTGATTTTGTCTTTGTCTCCCCAGTTCCTATTACAATATTTGGCATAAAACAGGTTCTTAATACATGCTTAATGAATTAATTACCCTTTGCTCCAAGGGAAATGAGGCAAAAATAAAGGTTTCCACAGATTGCACCCCTAACCCCAGTCAGCTGGCCTGCAAATGTTCACTGTAGTCAGTCACAAGTGAGGCCACTTTGAGCAACGGGAATAGAAAGCCACAAATCCATTACTGCTCAAAAATTTCAATGAGTATGTGTTGTTAATGATGGGTCAAGAACACTTTATCATTCCCCAGATTCCACTGTGTGACATTAAAATTATCCTGGATATCTCTGAAAAACTAAATCCATGGCACTGCATAAAAAATACACCAACTAACTGAAGTGTGGTCTCAAGCAAAGCCACTTAACCACTTGATCTCAGTTTCCTCATCTATTTACCACAGGAATTAGTTTTTATCCCTAAAGGACTCTAACTTTCTGATTCTCTTAAGGTGGGATGAGGTGGGGGGGGGAGAAAACAGCTACACAAAAATCTTTCTCTTACCCAGAGGGTTTTTATAGTTAGTGTTTTTACTGTTAATATAATCTAGGGTTAGCATTATCACAAATTGAGCCTCAGTCCCTTTCTAGTAAAAAATTGTTTAAGGATAAGTAAAAATTTCTCCCCCCATCCAGAGATTTAGCAGCCAATTTTAAAACAGATTCAGTGCCAAACACAACCAGCAAAGCAAGGAAAGTATGCTTCCAGGTCCTTAGGGCTCAATGTTTTAGGACCTAGTGTGGAAAAGTTTTCCATAACCTGTTTCTAGAATCAACTTTCCATTCTTTCATTTCAACTTCCAACATCACAGTGTGAAAAACAAAGAATACTTTTGCTGGCATTCTTGTGACCAAGTAGGGAAAGGAAAAAGTCCGTGTTGGTTGGGCTAGTTAGATCCAACTAGAGATCTTTCCTCTTTCCAAAATGGCTCTCTTTGGCTGTATCTATACTTGCTCTATTCATCTCTCCTTTCTCTGCCAAAATAAGGTGGAGAAAAAAAGAAGTACATAATAAAGAATTCAAATAAATACGCCTACAGGGAAATATTTGGCAAATTCTATAATGCCATAAGGTACAAAAGGGATGGGCAAAACCATTTTGTTCCTAATTTTTTTTTAAGAAGTGAGAAATAAGAAAAATACAGAAAATAACAAAAACTGGGGAAGTCTTGGAGATCATCTAGTCTTTTCCATTCATTTTTCAGATAAGCAAACTGAGGCCCAGCTGACCAAGGTTTATTCAAGTCTAACCCAGCAGGAACTAGAACTCAGGTCTTTTGACTCCTAGGAGAATACGGGGAACACAATAAGCATTTATATAGTGCCTACTATGTACCAGGCACTGCACTAAGCACTTAGCAAATATTATCACATTTGATCTTCAAAACAAGCCTTTGAGGCAGATAATAGTATAGTACTGTTTTCACTAACCCACCCTATAGGATATCAGAACACCAATAACTATAAACTGCAGTTAATAAACACAGACTGATCCACTGACAGGGCTCCATAGTCTTCACTATATTTAGGCTAAATTTTAAGTGATTATAAATAAGGCATTTCAACAGAGGAAAGATGCCCTCAGTGGGTTAGTTATCTGTGACAGGACTATAGATAAATAGAATTCCAGTATCTGTCTGTCTGTCTTCCTCTCTCTCTCCAGGCACAGTGCCTGGCTCATAGTAAACACTTAAAAAATGCTTGTTTCGCTTCCTCCCTCCCTTCCTTCCTCCTTTCTTCCCTTTGCCTCCCTCCTTCCTTTCTCCAGCAATTTTAACCTCCGTGGACCTAGGATCCAGCACTACAGTAGAAAAGATAGGTGAAGGAACTCACCGGCTAAGTCCTACACTTGGAGCTAGACAACAGTTCATGTGAAAGAGATCTGAAGTTTTTTACAAGACCACAAGTTCAGTAGCATTCAAAAGTAAGTCATGGCAGCCCAAAAAGCTAGTGCAGTCTAAGATTGAACTGAGAGAGGTAGAGTGTTCAGTTATAGTCCTGTGGTGCTTTGCCCTGGTCAGATCCTAGAAGACTCTGTTCAGTAAGGGGATATATACACACAACAAGCTGAAAATTGTTCAGAGGAATATGAACAGTTTGGTAAAAGACCATGTCATGAGGGCTAGAAACTATGGCTATTTTGCCTGCAGAAGAAAAAGTGCTTAATAAACACTAGATGGATTGAAATGGATTGGAGGGGGAGAGGAGGAGGCAGAGAAGGGGAGTGCAATAATTGACATGCAACCACTTGAAAGAGGGATTTTACCTGTTTTGCTTGATCCCAGACACCAGAACTTGGAGCAATAGGTGAGAGCTGAACCCAGATTTAAGTTCAATAGAAGGAAAGACTACCTAACAATTAGAACTACCCAAAAGTAGAACTGATTATCTTGGGAGTTAGTGGATTCCCCTCCTCACTAAAGAAATATCTTCAAGCAAAAATTAGAAGGCCAAAGCTTCACTTAAATCCAGTTCACTTGCATGTCATGGCATCACCTCCCTGATGTCCCTGATGTATCCTTTAAGCACGAAGGATAAACAAGACCACTAATGATCACTTGTCTTAATGTTATGGAGGGGATTCCTGTGGCTGGATTAGACAGTGTTTGAGATCCCAACCAATTCTGTGATTCTGTTTTCAAATGTGTACAGCATTATTCTCTGCAGGGAAACTCTGATTCAGGGGTGTGGTTTTAAATAAAAGTCTGTCTTGTTATAAAGCACAGGTTTTTTTTTTATTATTTCTTCAAGGGAGGAGATTTTGTGCCTGGGCGTGGGAAAAGGGGTGGTTTTTAGGGACAGCCTCAAAACAGAGCAAACAGAATAGGTCTATAACCATTTTCCTTTAACCAATTCTCCAGTGGCTGAGGATAGTTTGGTGAGAGTTCAAGCACCTTCCTCCTTCCTCCTTGAGGCTGCCAGCTCATTATCATAGCTTTACAGGACCTCAAAGGCCATCTAATCAACTCTTCCTCCCCCCCCCCCCCCCGTTATTTTACAGCTGAGGAAACTGAGCCCCAAGATGACTCAGGATTGACTCACGGTTACACAAGCTGTTAAGTATCTTAGGTGGGATTCGAACCTAGCACCTCAGTCTCCAGGATCAGTGTTCTTCCACATTGACTGTCTGATTATACATAAGAACAAGTACAGCACCTCTGATTATTACAGTGCCTTTGATACAAGGGCCAGTGTGGGATTGACCACCTTTCCAATAGAGATAAATTCTGAAAGTGGTTACTGAGCCATCACAACTTAAGCCCAGAACAGTTCAAATAGTATGAACACCCAAGAGTTTTCTTAAGCAAATACTTTCTCAGTCTTTCTCATTATTGGCCAACCTATTCAGTGGCTCCTGAGGATGTTTTAGTGACTCCTTTGATACTGTTACCTCCGGCTACCCTGATACCATTTTCTTTCTTGAGGTCCTGGTCTGCCACAACCCCCAAAAGGGTGGGCAAGAGAAGAGCCCAAAGGGCACTGCCAGCAAACTTCCCAGGAGTTTGGAGCAAGTTTGAGGTGAACACCGCTGTCCCTCCCCACTGCCCCTACCCCCAAGACAGTCAGTCAATAAGCATTTATCAAGCGCCTATTATGTGCCAGGCACTGTGCTAACCTCTGGCAAATACAAAGCCCAAGAAACCGGGGGTTTAATGCACTGCCTCTGCAAGTATTTCGGACTCCTCTGCTCTCCGCGCTGTCCCTCACGGCCGCTGTCGCTGTCACCTCAGTCTCCTTCCCTCCCACCCACGGCCCCTGCCTCTCCGGAGACAACTTTCCAGAAGCCGCCGAGAAAGCCGGCAGGCTCGGGGCGAGGGGGAGACGGGGGACGCGGCTAGTTAGCAAGCGCTTCGGCAGCGGGCGAAGGTGCAGAGACCCCGCAGCGGGGGGCAGCAGCGGCGCCCCGTGCACGCGTCTCCCCGCGTCCAGGCTTCCCCCAGCCTCCCTCACCCCACCAAAAAAAGTTTCCGCTCCCCGCCCCCCCGCAAAGGTCAGCTCCTGGGAGGGGAGGGGAACCCAGAGTTCTCCAGCATCTCTTCCTCCCTCCCTTAGAGCCTCGCCCCCCGCCCCCTCCCCGACTCCCGGGGGAAGAGGTACGGAGCGGGCAGGAGCCTTTGCAAAGCCCGAGGAGCACGTCACCTGCTGCGGCAGGAAGCTGGTCCCTCTCCCGGGCCGGGTGCTGGCTCTTTCGGGCTGCCATGCCGGCTGCTGGAGGGCGGGCGCGAGCCTGCTTAGAGCCAGCTCGGGGAGCAGCCGCCCGCCGCCGCCGCTCTGCCTCCCATCCCCGCGGGGGCCGCCGGCCGCGAGAGTCAGCCGCGGCCGCCTCGGGACCTGCTGCCGCGCCTCTCGCAGCCTCCACTAGCTTCGGCCGCTGCGGCTCCCTCCGGGCTCGGTGCGCCGCCCTTCCTGGCCTCTTGCTTACTCCAACAGACTGGACGAGCAGCCAATCAGACCCCTCCTTTCGGAAGAGAGACAGAGGTTGGGTGTGTCCTAGAGCAGCACCTTGTGCTCTTTTGTTGGGGGGTGGGGTGGGGGTGGTGCTCAGGGTGTTTTCCTGCCTCGCCCAAAGGTAGGGCTAGGTTTCCACCCCTTAGAATGCTTGCTCTTTTGACAAACTGAAGCCCATGTACCCTCTTAACATGAGGAAACGTCTCGTGAATCCCCAGCCTCCTCGTACGTAGAACAGACAAGACCTGCTCAGTCTTATCTGGCCCAACAGAGACTGCCCCCGTGGGTGTTTCCCTGGGAACCTTCGTCCGACATCCATCACTTCTTCTGAATGACTAGTGTGGTGCTCGGTGCCTAGCCTTGGGATACAATGGAAAGAGCACTAGTTCTTCAGTCAGTGGGCTGAGTCCAATTCCCATGTTTGACAACTTTCTTTTTACTTGTGTAACTTTGTACAAATTACTTAGCTTCCTTGGGTATTAATTTCCTTAAGGGAGAGGGCTGGACAAACTGGCTTTCAAGGGCCCTCTAACTCCAGATCTCTGATCCTATGGCCTTTTTGGAAAAGAAAACACCAGGGATACTGCTCAGAATGTTCGTGGATTTTTGTAATGTTCTCTTCTCTGTTATTTATTTTCAATTAAACTAATCTGAAATTCTCAGGGCTACAGTAAAATGCAAAACCAAGGCTGTGATCTTTCCATGAAATTAGACTCCACACTCAAATTTCTCATTATTATTTTCCACTAAATCAGCAGAAAAGAGTGGTTTTAGTAATGTCTACAGCAATCACCTTTGTAATCTGAAATTCCCTTTGTGTAGGGGTATATGTGCCACTTGGGTTTCTCTGAGGCAAGAAAAACATTATTTAAAAAATTAACCCCGAGGTAAACTACTTTACCAGGGATGACAGAGAATCAAATTATTTAGCAGTATCAACAGTCAAAAAAAAAGTCTTGAAACAAGCTTCTTTCATCTTTCTCTCCCCAGACAGATGGAATCTTTGACAGAAGACAGATGGGAGAAAAATGAAAAGTCCTAGTGGATATATCTGCATTCTCCATCACATACAATTTCCCAAGACAAAAAAAAAATAGAAAAAGCCTGGATTTTCGGCATCTACTGAAACAGACATTTCATAATTGAAGGAAGATGTGTTAATTCGTTTGCATTTTACAACTAAAGACAGTGATTTGAGTCAATCTTTCCCTTCTGGAGACTGAGAGCTGAGTGGCTTAGGGGGTTATGAAGATAAAGAATTGGTGCACTTTGTTGTTGAATGAAATATAATGAAAATGTAGCCAAGCTCCACTTTTTGTTGAGGAAAAAAATCCTCCCAGCCAATCAGGATTTAAGGTCATCAGGATAGTTTTCAGTTTCCATAAACCACCAGTTGCATGCATGAAGCCACGTAGCCAGGACAAAATGGCTATGCCTTAAAGATACTGTTTCTAATTAAACCTAAACAGAACCGTTAGTAATGAAGTTCTAAAGTTCATTTGAGAAGTAGGAAAAAAATAGAACTAATTTCTCTTTGTTATAATAAAATAAAATTTACTTACATCTTGTAACTGCTGAACTAATTACTCTAATTGGCCAGTTCTCCCCTCCTACCAGATGATATTTATTAGTCTAGTTGCTTGTAATTTATCTGACACCAGTGTACTTAATCTTTCATGGTTAAGAGAAGTTTTCATTGTGTAGATTGAAGCCTATTATATCCATGGTTACTAATATGTTTATCAAATTTTTTATAAATAAATACTTTATTACAGGACATTAATTACACATACATCCTAAAAATTATGAAAACAACTCAAAAAGCAGCTGAGACTAATATAATTTCAATATTCATGTGATGATTTGAAATACAAGTAGGTTTTACAGCAATGGCTTTATATCCTTGTTCCATATATCCCCAAGTATATACAGAAAGTTTCCAAAGAATAAAAGTCTTCTGGGAAAAACAAAAAACTTATTGACCTATTTTCTATAACTGAGAACTGAAGTGAACCATCAGTGGAGAAGGGGACAATGATTAAGAAATAAATTTTCCTTTTGCTTTTTCCCTTTCCTTTATGTTCTTGCCTCTTTTGATTTTCCTAGACTCCATGTTCTTCTTTCTTACATTATGCTGACATTTTCACAGTAAGCAATTCTTTCTGCTGGCAAGCTGCTTCTGAAGACTACAATGTAGGTATGTGGGGTAGAGTTATGATGACTGGAAATGTGGCGAAGTAGACACACACTATCAGAGCTGACCAGCGTGGGAAGTGTCACTAGGGATCAGGTAGGCCAACTCTTTGATTTGACAAATGAGGAAACATAAGTACCATGTTGTCCAAAGTCACAGAAGTAGTATGTTGCAGAACCAATATTTCAGCCCAAATCTCTCTATGCCAAACCATCTATAGTTCATATTCATCAGAGGCTTCTGTGGCTGCTGACAAGTATTGAAATAGCATAGGATAAAAAAAAATTGACATTTACTAATACTCCAAATTTAGAGTAATATAATTCAGAAAAGCAAAGTCAGAGCGCTGGATTATGTCAATAAGCCAGTCCAAATCCGGAAATTCAATGAGTTCAGAATGAGCACTACCAAAAGCATATTCTATTCCAGTTAAAACATTTATACAGCCATTACTTAGGTTGCACAAGCATCAGAGATTGTAAAAGAGCTCAGTAATCTGTACTGGATTGAGAGTCAGGAAACAGGTTCAAATCATACCTCTCACCTACACCACCTTGGGCAAGTCATTTTACTTCTCTGGGTCCCTGTTTCCATAACTAACTAAGAGTTAGACCCCATGACTTTTGAGGTCCCTTCCAGCTCCAAATCTATTTTATGTTCCCTAGGACAACTGCAAGACTCTTAAGCTATTTTGACCGCTGGAGCTAGTGGTGAAATACAAATTTTACTTCCTACTACTGCCAATAATAAGACACTCTTGCATTTCTACTTTGCTTTAAAGTTTACAATGCGCTTTCCTCATGGCAGTCCCACCAAAGGATCCTTTTGTGTTACTTGAGGAATATTCTATAATATCTAGTCAAACTTGCAGCTAAACATAACTATTAGTGTACTAACAAATAATGATTAGTCTTTTAAACTATGAAAACTTAATCTGAAGGATAGTTGTTTAGTCATTTCAGCTCTGTCTGATTCTTTGTGACCCTAAGTGAGGTTTTCTTGGCAGAGATACTTGTCAGAGATACTGCCATCATAATTTTGATAATGACTTTAAAGGAGTGTTATTTCCTGGCTCTAAGGACCTATCCGTTAAAGGCTCACCTTGAATCTTAAAACCCATGATTTAAAGAGGAGGGGGAAGACTGGACCTGTGATTTTATTGGTCTAGGAAACTCCTAGTGAGGAAACTCTCTCTACCAGAGCAAATCAGCACGTGCTCTTCAATTTATAGCCTTAGAGAGGGCCTCAGATCAAATGATTTGCCCAGGTACAGTCAGTATCTGTCATGTCAGAGGAGGGATTGTTTGTCTCTAAATACATAAATAATACTGTCACTGTTAAGATACAGATTGAAGAAAAATCAGAGAAATGCTTTGTTTAATACCTCATCAAGCTTTGTTACCCTCATTTCAAACCCTGTGAACTACTTTACATGAAACACTGTGAACTATTTTAGTTTTAAGTTTTGACAGCAAAATCACAAAGAGACAGCCTTATCCACTGGAAACAGTTGGCTAGAGACAGCCTTTGCATGGTGTCTTCCTTCTCACTCCCAATGATTCTTAATCCCACAGGTAGGAATTCATTCCTTGTTTATCTTCTAGGGAGTTGGTCTCGGATTCGAGAACTTGGGTTCAATTACTGCTTCTGACATATATTGATTATGTGACTTTACCTCTTAATGCCCCAGGGAACCTAGCTAAGACTATAAATTACAAATATTTGCTGATCTGCATTAGTAGAGAGAGTTTCCTCAGCGAGGAAGGCTCCCTTTATAAAGGTAGGGACCTCTCCCCCCTCATCAAAATAAAAGCAAATATTCCTAGGAATAATAACATATTAAACCTTATCAGTAATTAGAATGAATTTTCCATCTCCCTTCTTAAGAGCAAAATAGGCTTTGATAAAGGGAAGTAGGGAACTCTGGGGTCTTGTGAAGAAGGAAGAAGGAAGTACTATGGAGGAGGGGAAAGGGAACAGAAAGAAGAGGTATGTGGTGAAGTGGGCAGGGCAGTCCTATGGAAACAATCTGCCTACTTCACAATTTTCCATGTGGCCAGCCCCAAATTTACCAATGCTTTTCTTTGACAAGTGGTTAATTTTTATTCTCTCCTCAAACACTACAGACTATTTTATAGCTCTTGGAAAGTTCACAATCCAAGTTCATCTTCATGTCCTCCTTTGGTGGATGAGTCTCCAAAATCCATGGGTGTCTTGTCTCTTTGTCTAGTGTCTGAGTAGTGAGACAGAACTGGACTTTTTTGAGAGAATAACCAACTGGGAAAGATTATATTTCCTGTTTCACCTCTGGCAAGCTTTTAAAATTTTTTCTGGAGACCACAAAAGCTTCTCCAAACAGAACGCATGCAAAAGAAAGCAAAAGTTTACAGCCTAAACTGGCAAAAAGAGTTAAGGGAGAGCTGATCTCCATCTTCAAAGATTCAATATACGAGGAGTTACCAAGTTTGCAGCACCAAAAAACAATCAAACGATTCCTATTGTTGCCAATGATTTTTTTTCTATTTGTTTGCTGTAAATATTCTCTCTGTAGTAAAGATGAATATATTTTTCTTATAGTTATTTTTTTTGGACTGGAGTTGCGATTTCATT